TATATATATATATATATATGTGTGTGTGTGTGTGTGTGTGTGTGTGTGTGTTTTAAATTATACAAGAAATATGTTTTGTGGGCATTTTTTGTATATTTTTTAAGGTATATTTTAAAAATATAAATATATTTTTATAAGCATTCAAAAATATTTTGTACTAAATCCAAGAAAATACATTAACGAGTTAGCAAAAAAAAAAAATAAAGTATTTTATTTCAGCTATTCAAAGGCAAAATTTCTCATTTGCATTTAGTTTAACTTGGTGGTAGAATTGAAATAAACTAAAATGGAAATAAAAAATGAATAAAGTGTATAGACATATTTAAAAAGAACAGAAATAACTAAAAATGGCACATAATAAAATTACTAAAACTTTATAACAAAACTGAACATGAAAGCAGAAAATATAATAATAAAATACAATTCAAAATATTAACTAAAACTAATAGCATCTCAAAACTAAGATAACATTAACTGTCACATTTGAAGAAAAACTCAAATGTAATTGTAGACCACTGTAAGACTGGAAATGTATTTTCATGCCAAATACATTTTGAAATATACTTTGGTATATTAGGTTTGAAACTAAATATATTTTCAATTGCAAATTTTTTTTTAAAGAGGTTCATAGAGGTTCACTGTTTACAACATATCTATCAAATATTTAAAATATATTTTGGACAGAAAAATATGTTTTTTGCCATATGGGTGTATTATTCTCATTTTTAATTTGCTATATGGATAAGGCTTTAGATATTTCCTCTCCTAAATCACAATGTAAAGGTTCCTTTTTGACTGAAGACACTAGTCTGAAAAAAAGCGGTAACTGCCAGTGCTGATTTTTTACTGTCTTTGCAGATATGTTTTATAGGTGATGTGTTTTTAATCTTGCAAAGCCTATTTGTAAGCTGAAAACGTGCTTTGTAGTTGTGGCTAGCATTAAGCAATATCAGATGCTTATGAAGGGGATGCTGCGATAGAGAGTCAGTGTTTGGCTGCCCCCTGCAGTGAGCAGGAAGCATTGCACAAGGGCAGAATGAGTTTGACCTGAGGATGGGGAAAGAAATAGTGAGCCTGATGGAGTGCAGGAAGTGTCTTTTTTAGATGACCAGTCTTGGATCAGTCTCTCTTCAACTTCCATGGTCCATTCTGTCGGTTTCTTTCAGTCTCGGCCTCTCTTCTGTCTCTCTCACCATTTACGTCTGTTGTGTCCCAATCGAAGTTTCGCAGTAACGAAAAACCTTGAGGCTTGGCAGCTGTAGAGCTCATGTTAACCTTTATGTAGCTTGAAAGTGCTTTTCAAAGACTTAGATTTCCTAGCTGTTTTATTCTGCTGCAGTATCTTTTTAGGATGTGACAAACCCAGCAGCATGTGGCAACATTCAGCGATTTGAATGATTGCGTACAAAGCCATCGCATCTTTCTTTCCTTCTTTAGGGTTGTGTTTACGCGCAAACGTCCACGTTTCTCATCCGAACCCACACACGATATCGCACAAACGCAGATAGAATTGTGTTGAAATAATGTTTGGCTTTCTTCCGAGGCGTATTTGTAGCTGTGGGTGGGGGATGCGCTCGCCCTTATTGTTCTTCTCTGGGGACGAGCCACTTCTGTCATCCTCAGCAGCAACATCTGCATCACTCTATCGATCAGCTCCACAAATCGGAGGGCAGAGAGCGAAAAAAAGACAAAAAGAGTGAAGCTGAGGGATATAGAACGCTTGTTAAAAAAGAAAAGAGAGAGGAGCAGGGATGCTGGGAATTGTTTGTCTTGTTCAGAGACGTTAGGCTGAATGAACTCGACTGTCGGTCGTCCTTGATTTACACACGCTGTGGATAGATGACGTGTCTCCAAACACAGCAGGCTGTTATCGCTAAAGCAGCCTTTAATTTCCAGCAGCTCACAGTATGATAAAGAAAAGTCATGCGCATATGTTCAAAATGATTAACCTGTACATGATGCTTATGAACTTGGCCTGTTCTGAAAGCCATTGACTGGATGCTTTTTTCCTGCAGGAAACACCAGTGCTTGCAATGTAGAAAAAAATGCAATTCACTGTGCATCATCACTGTCAGTTAGATTTTGAAAGCCGTTTGCACAAAATACATTGTTGCTTTCAAGATCAGGAAAATGCAACAGAATGGAGGTGTGATGCATCATGCTTTTAACTTGACATTCAATTAAAAAACATGGCATTTATGGCTCAACATGTTGGGGGAAAATGGCAAGCTGTGTCATAAATATAAAAATGACCTATTAACTACCGTTCAAAAGTTTGGTGTCGGAAAGATTTTGTATTGTTTTTGAAAGAAGTCTCTTCTGCTCACCAAGGCTGCATTTGCTTGATCAAAAATACAGTAAAAACAGTAAATATTATTACAATTTAAAATAACATTTTACATTTGAATATATTTGAAAATGTAATTTATTACTGTGATGCAATGCTGAATTTTCACCATCATTACTCCAGTTGTCAGTGTCACATGACACAGTGTCACCTTCAGGAAATCATTCTAATATGCTGATTTGCTGCTCAAGAAACATTTATTATCATTATCAGTGTTGAAAACTGCTTAATGTTATTGTGGAAACTGATCCTTTTTTTTCAGGACTTTTCAAAGAATAGAAAGATCAGTATTTAAGTAAAAATAAAAATTGAAATAGGAATATTTTGTAACATTATCAGTGTGTTTACTATGACTTTTGATCATAGGGATGTAACGATTCGCTCAATCTACGATGCGATGCGATTCACAATACTTTGATTTCATGATACGATTTTCTCACATTTTTTTAACACAATGTGATTTAAGACAAATTATAAATGAAAAGGTGTTCTTTTATTATTTCTCAGACAAAATGTTGCACATTTCTTTGTGAAACTGAAATATGTCAGTTAACAAAACTAAATTGAAATTTTAAAACAAATCCCAAATCAAATATATAAATGATACAAATAAAATAAATCTCTTTATTGCTCTTTTAAAATGCTTTCCTTGTGCTCTTTCCATTTAAAATTAAAGGCAAGTGCTGTATTTTAATCACAATCCAAACAAAGATACATACATGCAGCATGAGCAGTTTTTAATTGAAATTCGAAGCAAAAAACAGCTTTGTGAAACTATACTACATAAAACATCTGCACGAAACAAAAACAGAAAACGGGCTGCAGTGAGAATGCCAATTCACTCTCTGACAGCAGGTGGCGCTTATGGAACAGCAGCGATACAGTGTTTCCTTGGTTACCGCTGTGATGAAAGCAGCAGTGCATTTAAAATGCTACTTTAATATGCATTATACAGAGGTCGTTACATCTCTATTAATGCGTCCTTGCTGAATAAAATTATTAATTTCTTCTTCTTAAGTAAATAAACAAACAAATTACTCACCCTAAACTTTTAAATGGTAATGTATATTTTTTTTATGTTTCACAGAAGAAAAAAAGTCATAAATGTTTGGAACAACAAATGATGCCAGAATTTTCATTTTTGGGTGAACCTCTTTAAAATCTTTTTAAAGAACAGGACAAACAGACTCATTCAGTGTGAACAGTAACAGTGAGTGGGAGATTCTTAAGCCTCGTTCAGACTGTCAGCCCAAATCCGATTTTTGTGCAAATCCGATTGAAATCCGATCATATTTAGTCTGAACGGCAATGAGCTACATGAAATCAGATTTTTGCAAATCTGTTTCGAGTTACATTCATATGTGGTTTGAAATCCTATTCAAATCGGATTTCTGGAAATGGGTTTCAGTCGGACTGCTCAGATCGGATTTGCGTAGCTTTTTCACCTCACGCCACGTAAAAAGTAAACATGTCAGACGTTGCTTGTAGAAAACATGATGAACGTACTTGCAGAAACAAGGTTGTGTTGTTGCGAATAGCAAGTCAAGTGGAAAATGACAATATACTGCAAGTCTACCCATCTCTTAGAGTTTTGAGACCGGCGGAGACGGCAGCGCGGAATAATGCCGCGCATGCAGCTTCCTACCTTTCTGCCTCATAAAACGTAATCTTGTTATCCCTTATTATAATCCAACGCGACAGCAACATGTCATCATGTTATTGAGTAAGAAGTTATTGTTGTTTTTAGCGTAGACATACCAATAGCGTAGAAACCAATGCAGATATTAAGCAAAACTGAACATATTGAACAAAAATCGGATTTGGGCCGACAGTCTGAACAAGGTTTTAAACTTTACTCAAACTTTGTTCTTAGACTTAAAAAAGTGAAGATGATAAAGTTTATGAAGACCAAAAACTGATTTGGCGTACCTGGCAAATCAGGCACAAAATTAGCAAACCTACAACGGAGATTATCTCCAGAAACTGGAGGAGAAAGTTTTGGAAGCTGAAAGTTTTGAGACTGTAGTTTTGGAGCTTAGCTCAACATAACATACAGGTGAAAAAAGGCTGTTTAAGTCTAAGTGGCAGAGCGAGGATAGAAAATCATTAATTATGAAACAAAATTGTGAAATTAATTGTGAAAATGAGACTGTTTGAGAAATATCAGCGCAGTGCAGCCTTCCAAACACATTTAGCCATTTCCTAAAATTCCTGTATATTCTCAAGCAGCATTCATCCACGTCTTCTGCGCTGAAACGTATGCGCTCGGCTGCCACACAGAGAGCCAGAAGAACCAGAGAATGAAACACACAGACAAAATCATATAAATTACAGCAGTTATGGTCTATATGTTTCAATTTAATGTGCTTGTAATGATAAATTATTTTAGTTACGGTGCCCAAAGAGGACCTGAGCAGTGTCGAGGTGGCCTGGACATTAGAACAATTGCTGCTGTCAGGGGAGGCTGTGGCCATTAGTCAGTCAATTAAAGAGTAATTATAATGGTTTCTGCTTCTGTGACTT